TTCATCTTTTTTTTTTTTTTTTTTTCTTCCATCCAATTTACTTCTATCCTAACAAACGGAGCCGAAGTGTGACAAAAGGTGTTTTTGAGTTGTGGTCATACCCGGTAATGTATGCAAAATGATCCAATTGGATGATATGTTGTTGCAATGGTAGGGTAGGGCTGAGTCCATTCAGATAATGAATGGATAACACTGAATTCCCAGGACAAAGTCCACTAATGGTAGGCCCAAATATGGTAAAATTAACAACATCATCAACATAAAGATAAGGTGGGCCTGTAGTAGGTTATTTTTGTTGTTTTTGTTTTTTAACCTGGCAAACAAAGAGAAGAGCACAAATCAAATTAGACAATTCTTAACTCCTAGAAGACGAATATCAAGAGGGATGTAGTAGCTTTACACTGATGACAAATTCTATAATGTGTTTAACGCACTGCACACATGCACGTCTTCTGAAGTGCCTTACTTACTTAAATTCTATCAGGACAAAGTTTTTGTTTTTTTGTTTTTACGGTCTACACCAAAATAAAAAACATAATACAATTCGGTTCAATTTTAATAAATTTGGAATCGAAATTGTAAACTAATAATTGCTTATTTTGGAACCATAACTGGTATCAATTTATTGATAATTTGATTCGGTTTAATTTGTACCGATTTATCAGTTCTCATTATCTTTTGTGGGCTCCTATTTACATTAGAATTTTGTCAAAATGAAAAAAAAAAATAAAAAAAAAGGGCAAAGAAACTACTGTCGAAGTCAATCTTCCCTTGGAATAAGTTAATAAATTATGGTTTGAATTTTTTTTTTTTTTTTTAGTACAACGCAGTAGTAATTTTGTCTTTTTAAAATTACATATATAAAAAAATTTGATGTTGCCCTCCTCGAAAATTACAAAAATAAATTTACTTTTGTCTCCCGTCTCACACAATTTCATGGATCAATCCCTCTCTGATTGCAACACTTAGACAAATTTATTACAAAAATTCAGAATTCACGGCATGAGAGAGCCAAGAAGTCCAAAGTACATCTTTGCTGCATGCACCGCCCATTGAATCAAGAGAGGAGATGATAAATTGAAGGTGGCGGCATTCTTCATTCCCTTCAAAATTATTCTAGAATTAGGAGAATGTATTTCCCAAACACCAATTATTCAATGCTCTAATTCGATTCTGATTATGAAAACTCAACGAAAGTTGCTTTCGGAGTGAAGAAGTCCGCTCGCTCTTGCGGTTAGTTATTAGAAATGAGAAAATACAGTTAAATCTGCTTTTCGTTGATTTAATGATGAGAGGACACGTTGCCTCCAACTACGCCTGTCCACTCAGGACCACTTCTCAAGTCGGCCTCTCGTCTCCCACTTAAGCAGACCAAGTCTAATAATGCTGCCAAAGCACACCTTTTATCAAAAGCTACCTTTTTGCTGATTATTATTATTTTTTTAAATTTTATTTTATTATTAATTTTTTTTTTGGGAAAATTACATATAAATGGAGTTAAAGTTCCATATTTACTTAGAGACTGAGTCAAAGTTCCATATTTCTCTAAAATGGATTGCTGAGGTGGCACATGGTTTTTTACTGTTTAGAAAATTATGGTGCCTAAAATGCCCTTCCCTAACAAAAAAGTAGTACCTTCAGTTCAAAAAAGTAGTACCTTCGGAGAAAAAGTAGTACCTTCGCGGGTGTTTAAAAAAAAACATGGTACCTGGACACCAAAAAGTAGTACCTTCAGTTCAAAAAAGTAGTACCTTCGAAGAAAAAGTAGTACCTTCGCGGAAGGGTATTTTAGGCACCACAATTTCTAAACAGTAAAAAACCATGTGCCACCTCAGCAATCCATTTTAGAGAAATATGGAACTTTGACTCAGCCTCTAAGTAAATATGGAACTTTGACTCCATTTATATGTAATTTTCCTTTTTTTTTTTTCTATGACAGTGGTGTCAGCTTTTTAAAACACCACGATCCACTCCCCAGCACCTTTTGTTGATTTATTGCACAAATTATTTCCATCAAGTATAATAAAATTTTCGTGTAATATATATACTATTCTGGATCAACAATCAATTTAGCCTCTTCATTTCAACAATCAATTATTATTATTATTATTATTTCAAAATTCATGTTTCATACTACAAGCAACAATGAGTGTGTCTTCTACTAGTATTTTCTCTTTGTTTTTGTGAAATTTGTATTATGTACGGAGCATAATGGCGATCACATATATATATATATATATTTTTATTGCAAAAACTATGTAATATTATTAGAGATAAAAGAATGGGAGACCAAAACATAAAATCCTCATGATAATATGACATTTTTTTTTTCCTGATAAGTATATGAATTTGTTTTTTGCATGACTGTTTTGATTGGGTTAATTGTTGTAATATGTTCTTAAAAGTACAAAAAGAATTTTTTATTTATTATCCTACACATTTTTGTACTTGTATTTCTAATTTTACAGTAGTATCATGTCGCGAGTCTCACATTCTTGCTCAGGTCATATTACATTTAGTCGTACCATTTTTCTTTCGGCAAAAGAATATCAGAGGTGAAGATAGAGTAGAGGAAATCTAGACATGAGTAGAGAGAGATGTCAGAGCATGAGTGTTCGCTAAGTCACATAAAGTGAGAGTGGGAGTGACAAAATTATGTTATAAATAGGGAGAATTTGAGTAAGAGTGCGTGCAGAGCATGAAAGTAAAAGTATGTTCAGAACGTGAGAGCGACACTTATTGAGAAAAATTATGTGACTTATAGGGAGTGAGTACCGGTGATGATTGACATGTAAGCTACTGTTAGGTTTTTGTTCACATGCAATTATGCAAATTCGAAAGCTTTTTAGCCTTTGACAATGGATCCATCACGAGCCAAAGGCCCGTAACCTTCCCTTTCAAGCCCACCTTTAAGTCTTCACTGCAGCTTACTGTACTAACATTGGGTCCCACCACCTACTTTCCATACTCACATTTTATGGTTACATCTACAAGAATTAGTCTCAACTCATTCACAAAAATACATGGTTGATTTTTTTTTTTTTGTGTGTGGGGGTGTTATTGATGACTACTATGTAATGGAGTTGGCTAGGCTTGATTTGGTAACGACTTGGCTCAATTTTGTCCTCTTTACTTTAAGGTAGGCACATATTCGTCATTAGAGTCCCATAATTTTGAATTCAATTCAAAACTGATCATGTGGTACCAAACTTTTCAACTTTTAACATGGTTTAAGAGAGACAATGTAATGGTCATATCTCCAAGATCTTTTAGAGTTTAAGTTACTCAAAAAAATCTGCCTACGCAATTTGGTGAAAATGCATGCATTATTCATTGCACCTCCAAGGAGGGAGACACTTGCCTAAGCACACATAGGGTATGGTATTAGCACGTACATAGGTGTTGAATTTGAAGCTCTTTTATTTCGTGGCTCTTTTTACTTTACTTGATTTCACTTAAAAGAGTTCTTCACGTTACAAACTCTTAAAATTTAGCTACCAACACATGTGGCTTGTCACTATCGCTTTCCTCTAAGATACACGCGATTACTAAGTAAATAGAGTTGTACCCTAGATTGTAGTTTAATACTTGCTATCTGTGTTGGATGGTATTTGTTTCAAATTCTATTCAAATTAATTAGGCTTCACATAATTTATTATAAGAAATTTTTTTGTTGGAATTCCTTTAATTTCATGGAATTTCTATGATATCAGTCATTGAATCATTTGAATGAGATCAACCACCCAAAGCATGCTCATCATTTTCATGGATTTAAATGTTGTTCTTCTACCATTTTTGTTACGAATTACACAAGAGTAATGATATATCATTCGAATTCAGAGAATGCTAAATAAAATTTATGTGAGTGAGAATGTGGGCTCCACTATATGATGTCTATGTTGTGGGGTTTACATCCCTATTTACATCACCCTCATTCAATTTACATCTCTAAATTCAGAAAATATATCATTCTCTGTTATAGAATGTAACATTTTAAAAGCTAAGCATGAGTGAATCCTAAGGATGAATTTCGAACAATTATGGATTTCTATGAAATGTGTATCAACGTCCATTTTATTGTAAAAAAATCCAGTTAGATTTTTTTGATATAGACTCTTGGATAATTAGTCAAGCTAAAATTTGTAGTTTTGAAAATAGAAAAAAACTTAAAATGAAAAATTATATTTGGTTTGATTTTTTAAAAATACAGTTATAAAAATGCATGTTTTTAGAGAATATTTTTTTTTATAATTATTTAAAAATAAAATTTTATTTTTTTTAGTCTTTAAAAATTATTTTCAGTATCAGCTTTATATATGAATGAAGTGGCATTAATGAAAAATGTGTGGAAACAAATTTATCCAACTTAAGAAGTAAAAGCAAATGTGAACTACACACTGACACATGGCATATAATTTAATTGTGAACTGTGGAGAAGCTGACTCTTCCGTAATAAATCGAAAAAGTAGCTTTTTCCTCATAACCACACAGTTGTGGTGTCCACGCACAAATTAAGCAATTAATAAAAAAATAAAATAAAAAATAAAAATCTATCTTACTTTAGGCAGCAGTACATGATTCACACGATGTCCTAACTCCTATGCTGCTTGTCAATATGATATTTTATCATTACCACATTTTTGCATTAAATAACTCATATCTTTATTTTTATTTATGTATATATTACAACAATCAAGATTTTTATTTTTCAACCATTTGGGTTAGATTTATAAAAATCATATGTCTTCATTCAACTCTACTTAACGTCGCAATCACAATAGATGTCTTAGCAACTCTACTACTATAAATTTTAATTTATCTATTCTCAACGTGAATTATGTCACTTTTCTTAATCGGTGCAATTAAATCATTGCTTAATTTTTATTTAATTCGTTTGTTTAATCATCAAGCAGGGTAATATAGTCATTACAAGAGAGGTACAGTATATTCAGACCACGATGAGTGTGAACAAGAAACATGGAGAAGTTGTTCTATATGGAAATCAGTCCCTTTCTCAGCAGCTATAAGTACAGCAAAGAGGGGATCAAACTCTGACACAAACCAGAAAAATAAGACCCTTCTTTACACCTAACAGCTCTATGAATTCCATCTTTTTTAATTCCTCAAAAGACTTCTAATGTTTCTCTCTCCAATGGTTTATTACTCTGTTTACCTCCTACTCCTAGACTCTGTTTCTCACATTGCAATTCACATCTCAATGCCCAAGAATTCTCATCTTTGAATTCAATTTCTCTTCAATTCTTCACTGGTTTTCGTCCCAATCATTCTGATTTCACATCAACTTAGACCTTAGTCTTCACCCATTTCCAGATTTTCTCTCTGAAACCATTTGCCTCAACACCGTTTGCATTTTCAGAGGAAAAGGGACCATTTTTTAAGCACCCTTTTTCCTCCTCTGTTTTCCCCTGTTCCAATTTTCCTGGAAAATTACAACTCAGACGGAAAATATACCCGAAACATGGCAGGAATGCGAGAAAACAACATCCCATTATTGTCTGATGGTGCCGACATTCGTTCTTCTCTATCCAATCTCATACTAGCTGGAGGCACGAACACCTTAGATTCAATCTTCTCTCATTGCTCGCCATTAACCCCCATAACCAACCCTGTTTTGGGGCCCTTAGGCTCATCAGTGTACCTCCAACAACGAGATTTACTCAGAAAATTCCACGAAGAAAACAGCGTAAACAGCACAGTTTTGGGGACTTCGAAGATCAACCCACTTCAAAACTCCGCATACACAAACACTTACATGAGTCCCATGAAGAAAAAGCTATACAGGGGAGTGAGACAGAGGCATTGGGGCAAATGGGTGGCAGAGATTAGGCTGCCTCAGAACAGAATGAGAGTTTGGTTGGGTACATATGAGACTGCCGAGGCTGCAGCTTTTGCTTACGATCGTGCAGCCTATAAGCTTCGCGGCGAATATGCACGCTTGAATTTTCCCAATCTTCGGGATGCTAGTACGCTTGGATTTGTTGATTGCGCGAGATTGAATGCTTTGAAGAGTGCCGTGGATGCCAAGATTCAAGCAATTTGCCAAAAGGTGAGAAGAGAGAGAGCTAACAAGAGTGTTAAAAAAAGTGCTTGTTTCGGTGGCAGTAATGGTAATGAGAGTCATAAATTGTTGAAGGCATCTGCGTCCTCGTCTTCTTCATTCGTTGGTAATGGCACTTGGAGTAACAATGAAATGGTATCGCCGAGTGCTTCTGAAGATGGTTTTTTGAAGGGTGAGAATTCGTCCTACTCTGTTTCCAGCGAGTGTCCGATGGTGACGGAGGAATTGGATCTCCAAGACTGCTCGTTGGAACGCATGCCTTCTTATGATCCTGAGTTGATTTGGGAAGTTCTAGCCAATTAGAAGACCAAATTGGATAGCTTTAATGAAGACTACCTAATGCATATTTTTTTTTTTTTTAGTGTACTTTTTTGGTATGAGTAAAGGTAATTTAGGTTGATTTTGCTACCCTAATTCGTTCTTACTTCGATGGGCACTAAGAATGTTCTTGCGGTTGTTTTCTAGGCACATTCAAAGTGATATTAGATGAGAAATCTTTAACGTTGTGTTCGCTTGCATGAAATTGGATTTTTAAAATTAAAATTGATAGAATTAGAGAAAATTTTAGTTCAATTTTATGAGTTACTTTTCTCCAATTGCATCAATTTCAATTCTATGAAACTGAACATAACCTAAGTAATTTAAGTTATACAGCACCATCATCCACAATATGTCCCTATTGAAGGACTCATCTCCCCCTGTGGGAGAAAAGATCATACCATTGGGGAAGAGCTTGTACATGTGTTACTGCATGAGCTTCTCAGTTTTGCTTGGAACGAGTAGACGATGAGTCCATAAAAGCAACCACTAGTTGGCCTAAATCTAAATTTAAAAGCTCAATGTTCAATGACCAAAGGGTAATATAATGTTTAGTAAGATATGCCAGAAAAAGTAGGGTAAATTGTCATACTATGCATAAGCATCATACCGAATTCCTCTATGAATCCTCAATTTGTGTGTTTGTGAGTGTGTGAAAACTGCTCATGCCGCATCATTCCCATTGGATTGAGATATGAAACAACAGAATTTTCTTGAAAAATCGTGATGGCGAACTAAGCCGAATCTTCCAGTTTATGCATCCCTCTTGGTGATGAAGAAAGCTAGTTATTGTGGTCCTACCTCCCGACTCATTGCATCCATATGTATACATGATGAGAGCTTATAACTCTTTAGCCCTACCCAATGAGTGAAAATGAGAGCACATCACAAGTGCACATTAGAAGTGAGAAGGGCTTATTCAGAGAATAATGTGAACCTCACAGATTTTGAATCTACTACATTTATTATACTTTTTGATCAAATATGATGTACAAATCTTCCAAACAAACGTTAGGGGCTTGAAGCACTTGCTATAAAGAAATGGTGAAACCACTTTTTAAAGACAAGTCACATTCTTAACCTTCTTCACAAATGAATCAATTAGTTCCCTCTTTGGATCAGAATGCCAAACTCCAAATACTACTTGTTATGCTTCTTTACCATTGATCCGATCGACATAACACATATACAAGAATATTCGAGCCAGCAAACTTTAATTATAAACATAGGGCTAGTCTCCAGTTTTGGGAGGGAAAAGAAAAACCATCCTTTATCACACATTAATTCAGCAGAATATTATGTAAAAAACTAATTTATGTTTAACTTTCTTAATTGGATTGATATGAACCGATTTAATCTGGTGTAATTCAGCAAATTACTATGTTCTTCTTACTGATGGAGTATGCTACATGTCACTATGAAATGTTGTTTTTCCCATTATTTCACATGCAATGACCATGAACAGCAAGCACAAGCTACTTCTTGAAATACAACTTCAAGACACTAAAAAGGAAGCAGTTTTGCATCATTTGTGTACGTGCAGCGAAGATAGATGAACTTCATGAAATTTCAACAACAAAAACTCAACATTGCAACGGTAGAAACAAGCCGACCAACCACCGCTGGTCATTTCCATTAATCCATACTGCAGAACTTCTATCAAGGTCTTCAAGGACATGGATCTTTAACCATTCCAGTAAGTTATCAGGTAGAATCTGTTATAGAGTCACGCTCAACTAGAGTGAACTCCTTGAAACTTTTCAGAATTTGCAAGTATTTGCAAGCAACCAGTAGGTCAGAACACTATCTGAAGGCCAGATTTATATTTTCCTAAACATGAAAGTAGGAAAAAACAAAAAGAACCTTGAAGATTTGCAAGTCTTCAACCAAATATTTCAGCCCGTACGATTTCAACATTGGAATTGCTTCGTGACATATTATAAAGAAAACAACAGCAACTTTAATTAGAATCCATCTTTATGGGTCCTCATAACTATACCTTCAACCACATTCAAGGGCATTCCAAATAGCTCAGGTAGATGAGCCCAGAAACACCAAAATGCCCCTCATAAAGACACCTTTTACCTCAGTGTCAATACAGATATTACATATAAAAGGCCAATGGTAAAAGATGCAAAATTAATATCTAGAAATATATAATAATCAGGAAAAATAAAAGTTCTTGTACCGAATTCACATTAATGGGAAGTATCTATACTGCCCAGGACCAGCTTTATTAAAAAATAATAATAAATAAATAATGTAGCTAAAAGCTCTGTTATTTATGTTTTTTATTTTTTTTCATAAGTAACTAATAGCTTTGTTAATTTGTGGAAATAGGATGTTCATTCTGCTGATTAAGAGGAGATGATAACTGTTATGCTTTAAAATGGTGACAGTTTACATTTGATAGGTAATTTTCTAGTTCCATAAAGCACAATTTCATTACATAATCATATAATAAACTAACAATGAAATTTTAAGTTAAATCATACAGCATAATCCTACAGAACTGAAAGGACCTCTGAAAGCAGAAACAGGATGGTTTGTTAAATGGAAAGCACTACCAGTTCAGTGAATTCTTTGACTGCTGAAGTTTCACATTATAAGAACTTTCTATATCCTCCTGCAACATTAACAATTTGAATAGTTAAATGCCATTGTTTTTCTCTATTCATCAAAAAAATAAAATATACCATTCTTTTTCCTCTAAAACACCATTTCTTTTTTTCGACAATGGTAGTGTCAGGCCTCTTAGAGCACCCCACAGTCCACTATGCACAAGCGATCACCCCTTTCCCATGCACCAGGCAATTACCGGAAAATTCCCCTGGAGTGGTCCGAAAGAGCATTCAAACTCCCAACCTCCAAGATGTGAGGTGACTCAGTGAGAACCTTGCCATTAACTTATCCCCATGGGGTTTCTAAAACACCGTTTGCTTGATTGAAAATTTAATCAAGGAAAATCAGACTATCAAAATGCAAAATATATTTAGTGTGCGAACAAGAGATGATAGTGAAGTTAATAACCAAACCTATCTGTGTAGTTGACATGAAATTAAATGCACTTCTCTTAATTGGGAGATTGATGGAAATCCATTAGGTATCAGCTTTTGGGGCTGCAAAGGCAATAGTAAGGGGCTTTTCTAAACCCAATGGTTTGGGTTTGGTATGGATTATTTTAAATTAGCTCCAAGAAATGCCCAATCTTACAAGACAAGAAGGCCCATGAACCACCAGACCAACACATCTAGAATTGTTAAGTCAAATAAAACTAAGCCGTGGCATGCCAAGATGGTCTAAGAAGAAAGGCAATTGAAGTTTCAGAAACAGAATATTAAAAACAAAAATGAAAGAAAATAAAAGGACTGCAAATGTTATTTAAATAGATCAGAAATACCTTGCAAGCTTTTAGCAGAGGCTGTAAGAAAGATGACCTAAAATATCTGATGGATTTCCCAATTGAGGTTCTATCGCATTCTGCCATCAAGGAAAAAAAAAAAAAAAAACTAATTAATTCATCAGTTATGGTGTTAAAATGACCCAGTGAACTACGACATGCCAGTGCAACTGCACATGCGGTTGATGGATACCCCATGCAACATTTCAAAAAACAAATGCTCACCAACTTGAATACAAATTTCTAACTGTCCATGAGCTTTCAAAACGTTATTATCTCCAAATGACGAATTAGGAGATCCACCAACCCAAAAGTGAACACGCACACATCAAAAAATTATGCAAATCCAGAAGGAAATATACAGATATGCAAGTTTTCTATTAACATACCATTATCACCATCTGCTCTCAAACCTCCCATGTTAAGTTCTCCTAAAAGCTGCAGTTTTAACAAACGTAGTAAAATATTCATGAGTGACAAAAAATTGACCTGATACCAAACCCCAACAATATTTCATACTGCAGCTAAGAATAAACATTCATCCATAATCTCTTCACCTAAAGATGAGTAGAAGGGTCTAGAGATAATATTGTGTAATATATTTTAAAAACAATGCATATTAGATATATTCGTACTGCAACTAAAAAATTACATTCATCTATCATCTCTTCACCTAAAGATGGGTCAAAAGGTCTAGAGATAATATTGACATGATACAGCAAGAATATGTCCTATTATTTTAAAAACAATGCAGATATTGGATGGTTAAATTCATTAATTATGGCATACGTCTAGACTTGCCAAATTATAAGATGGTTCTGCTCTCATCGCAAAAAGTTGATGGATGAGGAAGCATAAGTATAGTATGAGTATAGTTTGTAATACCATACTAAAATCATAATAAATCATATACGTGCTTCCAATAGAAGTTACAAAAGCACTGGTTAGGAAAAAAGATTATAGCAGATAAGCAGGTATCAATCAATTTTTCGTTTATGCTGCCTGTAGAAATTCAAATGGGTTTCTAAATGGAAGACAACAGAGAACATGCAAGTACAGGCAAGCAACAATAGGAAGTTAGCAGTGAAATAATGAACAATCCACTGGATGGCTCAGTAAGGAGACATACCAAATTAACAACAAAGAAATTCAGATTTTTGACAAAGTTACTTTTGAGAACAAGAAATGGTCAGAAAAAGGTGTGTACTGAACTAGAAAAATAACACTTTTTAGTTGGTGGAAAATATATGGGGGGCAGACAGTATTGCTTGAGAGGAGAGAGAGAGAGAAAGATGCTTTGTCACAAGCTCCTAGGCCTGCGCTTCAAGTAATCTCTTCAAATGCTAGGACCATACTACTACTATGTTCTGGCACGAAAACTTAAGACCAAATCAATAACCAAGGTGAGAAGAATCCCTTCATCTGATTTTATTGTTTTCCTTCTCTTATCTATAGCTACTCTCCTGACCCTCAATCTACTCAATGCCCTTACCAAGATTAAAGACATCAAGGAAACAGCAAACAGACAGATGGTGAAAATATCAAACAGCAATTTGAATCTAAGCTTAAGTCTCCAAATTTCATTTAGATTGTGAAGGCAACAACATAATGAAAAGAGGATGAAAAGACAGAGTGGAATTAAATTGAGTCAAAATTCTCACTATTTGACAATACAGTATTCTTGTCCATATATTAGTTTAAAGGGCTAAAGGTGTTTTTGAACAGCTTTTTCTTTGATGTAAATTGCATGCTATCATTTTGCAAATTACAACAAACCTTCAACTGGAACTGCTGAAAATTTGCAACGACAAGTGGCTAAACCAGTAAGTGGATCGTTTAAATATATGCTTACCATGGAAAGTGTTGGTACAGTGGTCGGATCAAACTCCTCACAGTGTTTTGGATCAATTGGAACACAAACACGACCTGGAGCAAAAGAAAGCAAATCACTAGCGAGGAACATACCATAATAGTAATAATAGGAAACTCCAGATAGTTTGAAAGTACAACAGATGGTTGCAAATAGCAAGGATTCAATAATTCCTTGAAATAAAAATCTAGCTTCCAAATTTTCATTTGATTAAAGATTAATATAACAAAATGATGTTCAAATTCATAATTTAAAACAGAACTTACTGTTTGCAAACTTTAAGCATTATGTCAGATAATCAGTCATAGTATTTAAAAATCCTAGCATCTATATTTCACAGGTAATAAATATTTAAGGTACAAACCTGTTTTAGGGTGTACACAGAATGGTGCCTTCAGCAAATGGTTCATGTGCTTCGAAACCTGAGATGTAGTCAAATGGATTAGATGTGAAGCAATACACATTATAGATATATAATACTTATATTTGACAAAAGAATACATGCAAATTGGATGACCTTAAGGGGCATGCATGCTGAAAAAGAAATTTATCAAAACGTGGGGTGTGGGGGAAGAACTACACAAACCTCCATATCAAGCCTAGGATAGGTATAACAAAATACAATCTCTTCGACACACCGACGAAGCCCCTGTGCCTGAAATATGAAATGGAAGAAAACCGAAGTACTTTTTGTACTTTTTATAAACAGATTTAAAAAAAAATAAAAATCATGTAGCTGATCCCAAATAGTTGGAACAAAGCTTTGTTGAGTTGACTACAAGCAACACATACAGTGTCAAGAATCTGTACCATCTGTAAATTCCATTGGAATGTTTACTCCATAACACAGACCTTCTCAAACTAAAATTCACTTCAAAATTTAGCAGATGAAGTACAAGCATCTATATGTTTGTATATGTTCCGTTAAAAGGTATGACAAAATTATTATTATTATTATAATGGATTTTTTTTCCCCTAGGTATTATGGAATTGTTAAATGCAATACAAGGCAAAGGAAAGCATAAAATGTTGCCATTTGAAGAGATTCAAACAACAAGAATTTTTTTTTGGCCCAATCTAGTTGATCATTTAAATTTTAAAAGAACCAATGCCTAATAAAGATACAGAGGTGTCCACCACAGTGTATCAATTCCTAAATAAGATGTTTGTGTCACAGATGTTGTATCATACCTTATGTTTTCCAGACTGCAGCATATGTTTTAGTTGCTCCCACCTAACAACATTAATGTCTTCTTTTGAAACAGAAGACCTTCTGTTCTCCAGCCACTTTCCCCGAAGCTCAGAAGTTACAGCTGCAAAGATGACTTCCATGTAATGTATTGATGGTGGTTTCAGGAGATGAAAATGTATATGGGAAGAAATAATGATATTGAAACAAAGATTAATATAAAATCAAAGCTGCATACATTCATCAGGAATCATCTCTAATATCTTCTCAAAGCGCTCCTCGTTTGAAAGTAACTTTTGACTACGGAGCAAATTCTCCTCGAAGAAATCTTTCAGAACATCATCATATGATCTCCTGCAAAAATTGAATGGCACATAGTTAAAAAAAATGATGGAGAGAGACAGAGAAGATCAACAATTTAAACTAAACACTTACAGAAGGAAAGGGTGAAGTACAGGACCCATTAAAGAAACCTTTTTCTGACCATTCTCATTGCCCTAGAAAAAAATAAAAAATAAAAAAAAATAAAGAAAGAAAGAAAAAGACTTCCATTAGAAATACAATGGAAGATTTCTCCCAACTCCAACTATACTTGCAAAAAGTAGTAGACAACCTTGTATACACGAAAATATTCGGCAATGGATGCCCTCTGTTCATTATTCAACCTGAGTGATGGCAGTACATTTAAAATCTTCAGAAATCATTAAATGCATAGAAAACCAGATAAAATAAAATTTTATTCTCCAAGTATATTTGGAATTACCTTCTTGCTTTCCTGTCACAAACCCAACAATGGACACCACGTCTTCCACTGTATACCCAGAGAATGTGATTAAATCCAAAGTCATCTGTATTAAGGAATTAATAAAAAGTGTAAGCTTGGTAAATAAGCACATCATATTTAGCTAAGAGTGGAAACATACAAATGCACGTGTGAGACAAATGTGCAACTTTCAAACTTTTGTTAAAAATATAAGAACAATGATTGCACAGAATAACGACATATTGACTACATATGATGAGCTTAGTTATACGTTACATATCGCATGTGTACATCATACGCACTATTTTCTTACAAGTATAGTTTATTGTACTGATGTATCATCACAAACAGAAATTCGAGTATGATATAGCATTAAAAAACACAAGTATCAGAGTATCAGCTTATCATGATAGTTCCTGTTACAATGGCAATTAGTACATTGTAGTCTATCACTGTATAACATAATGCTCAGGTTTTTGCCTCTAATAACAAGTATAGTGCTTTGGCAAAGTACCAATGTGAAAATTAAATTCCTGCTATAGATAAGTAAGCAAATATTTTAACGACATCAATGTACCAATGCGCAATATTCCTACCTCGGAGAGCAGTATCAATCACCTTAATAGCAACAGTCATTAGGGGCCAGCAGTCCAAGCAAACATCAGCCCCTGAGCAGCAATATCTAATATCATCATAATCTGTTATATCCTGTGGGACAACATGTAACTCAGTCACCTCAAATGACCTAGGAGTTGCTTCAAACTCTAATTAGGTTTAAATTATTTGAAAGTTAATTAACTTACTATATCAAAAACCAGCTCTCTTTCAACCGGACTGAAAACATTATCACCAGATTGTCCATAGGCATGCCTTTTTGTAGGCTGCAGCATAAATGAAAAAGAAAAAAATAAGATAACGCAACAAACAGAAGCTAAAGAATCTGTGTTGTTAAGCACATGCAAGAATTTATAATCTAGGGGAAAACACAGATATAAATCATCATGACTCCACTGTGCTTAAGAACACATGACTTGGGGATGTTTCCATTGTTTGGGCGCTTGCCAATCACTTGGCCAAGTCATGGCATACTCTATGAAAGGAATGGAAAGATCAAATGATGCATATTATGTTTAAAAGAAAAGGGTTCTTTCAGAAGTTACGCTTGGTCTGTTCTGAACTCAGAGAGCCTTATAAACTGTATCAAAATCTGCTGCTAGACCAAGCTTACTCGTATGCACACACACAGCACGCACACAACAGCCAACTACAATACTCAAGACACTCAGTGAAGTAAATCTAGTCTTTAATCATTCAGAAAAATCAAATATTGTAAACTTACATCAACACTGTACACAGGCCCAATATCTATTTTGAATGGACATTTCTCTTTGATCGAATTTTCCAGTTCAGATGCACTGTTGAAAGACTGAAACCTCAGATATATGTCATTATCCAATGTGAAAGAAAATTCTCTTCGTCCAAAGTATGATTGGTCACATGCAGGATGCTTTCCATCTACAGATCATCAATTAAGATATACCGTTATAGAAGAAATAAAATAACAGCAGTTAGAAGAAGAGAGGAGAGATCTGCAACCAGTTTTATAGGGAAAATTGGATTACCATTTCCATAGGACATCCATTTAAAGATATCAGCATGGGGAAAAAGCTTTCCTGGCCACAGATAAAATAACTTTATAAGTAAGAATTTATACTTCTTAGGCGAAAACACAATTGACAAGAGATGAAAAACAAACTAGCAAGTGCTTGGCAAAGTTAGAACCATCATAGTTATCATTGGTCTACATTAGTCACAAAATTGAGCGTGTGGTTTAGGCATAGCCTTACGTTTGAAAGCATCATGAGAACTACATTTTCAACCTAACTTATTTGCAATTGTCCAGTTTTCAGATTAGCCAACTCTTTATTTAAGAAAATAACTCTGATTTATTGCTACTCCACCAGAGATTGATACTAATTTATATGCATTCATTGGTCAGCAAACAGACAGAAAAAGCCCTCTTAATGATTAGCCACGAGAACCATCATAGTTAGCATTGGTTTACATTAGTCACAAAATTGAACATGTAATTTAAAGCTATTATAGTTATCATTGGTGTACATTAGTCACAAAATTGAGCATTTAATTTAGGCATAGCTTTACATTTGAAAAAATCAAGAGGACTTCTTTTTCAAACTAACTCATTTATAATTGTCCAGTTTTCTGATAAACCGGTATAAATATTAGCAAACTCTTTATTTAATAAAATAAATCTGATTTATTGCCACTCCACCATAGATTGATACTAATTTATATGCATTCATTGGTCAGCAAACAGACATAAAAAGCCCCCTTAATGATGAATCTTACTAAAATATCAAACTTGAAAAACTCAAACCACAACAAATTCAAACCAAAGTTAAACTAGATCAAACCATAATAGACCAAACATAATTTGAATTATAAATCAATTACCATAATAAACTTTCAAATAATTGGCATTGAATCCATCAGGAACAGCGTTGATTTGCATCTGTTCAGCTTCACAACCATCAATTAGCATATCATCTCTTCCATTCTCAGCTTCTTCTCTTGTCATTTTGAGTACTACTAGTTTCCCCAATTCAACAAAGCCCCGTTTAAGAATCAGAAAATGATTTTCTCGGCAAACGCAACAACATTATAATAAGATCCGGAAAAAACTTGACCAATCGGAAGAGTAAATCCAACAATAATGCAATTTGAAATGGATTGCAATGCTTAACTGGAAAAAACCCTAATCCTAGAGCAACAAATTAACGTTTAATAAAATAGTTTCCTGTATGTGTGTGTATATATATAATTGGAGTAGAGAATGATGCTTACGACGTGCTTGAACTCGTATGCTGAAGCCGAGATAGCAGACGAAGCGGCAAGGATTCGCACAGAAGCTGGAAAATGGCGGGAAAAATAAAATACAGGCACCGGTGAAGTAGGGTTTTGTTACTCGATTGAATAAATAAATAGATAATAGAAAAATAAACTCGCGGGAAAATTATGAAAAGGCAATATTGTCTTCTAAAAATCCATAATATAAATCTTACAGTATTATTTATTAGACAGCTAATCCAATAATAGGTAAGTATTGCCTTTATTTAATTGACATGTCACATGAGACCCTAATAAATAAAAAAATCAACTCCTTATATATATACACACACATATAAATTAATGTGACCTTTAACTTATTTATCTGTGAATATGTAAATATTGCCTTCATTCAAATGCTTACATGATACATAGGTAATAATAGTAAATCCAATAAAAATATTTGTGGGTAATTTCATTCAAATAAATCATTTTCCTACTCACTCCGTCTCAAAAATAGTGTCGTTTTTAGAAAATCGTGTCAGTTCAATTTGTGAAAGCCACGGTTTTTCAAAAGTGAAATTTTTTATGAGACGAAAGAAGTATTATGAAGTACGATCTTTAATTAAATTATATTTTACCAAATCATGAACATTTGGTAGGATATCTATTGTAATTTTATATTGGATGCAAGTTAAATACTAACAACATTGACAATCTAATACCGTAATGGCTTTGGCTTGACCTTTGAGCCTTTGGAATGACAAAATAAATAAATAAATAAAATAAAAATTAACGCACTCCACTTGTAAAATAGAATTACATTATTGAGGATAGTTTTGTCATTTACTTTAAGGAAAAAAAAAACAAAAAAAGGTGAAGAAACTAAAGTTCATTTATCAAAACACTATAGAACAAATATCTTCTTCCTCAACATATTTACTACAAGACAGTAGCTAGGTTATTGTCTCTTATCATAACACGTGATGAGATTTATATCTGAATAACTCAAATAAGTAACCAGAAGGTTTGAGCATTACTAATATTGAATGAGGTCAGATAGTACATCTAATTTACTCCGTGGACTAGTGAATAAATTGAATAATTGATTATGGATCATGATCCTCTTGCTTAATTTTTTGAGTTGTTTATGTAACAATTATATGAGAATATATATATATTGACAATAAAAAGGAAAAAAGGAGGATAGAGTGACTCGAACTTGGTCTCCCACACGATTTATAGAGTGCTTCTACTAATTGTATTATCCAACTCACCCTGAAAATTAAGGGACGAGGAATGGAGGTTCTAAGCCTTAAATTCATTATATTTTTAACCGAGCCCATGGTGTGACCCAATTGCCATTGGTATTCAGAGATCAGGACATCTACAGTGTCAGTATTGACTATGGATGAACGGTAGATTAACCAAGCTAGCTAAAAGAATTCAAAAGGAGCTTTGTTGATGGGTGGCCGAGGAATATATATATATATATATATATATATATATATATATAACAAGAACATAGGCAATAACAATATTGGATGTACACACTATGCGGTGGTGGTGGAGAAACTACTGAAGCACGGGCTCTATTGATGAGATACGGTGCGTGTGTTCAATGACTATGGGGCGGTTAGGAAAAAAATAATACTGTAGTAAAAGCGTACAAAAAGTGGGTGAATGGAATAAAAAAAGGTTCAATACTTGGTATGAAATTTATCCTCTCAGGTGAGGTGGCCCTTAGAACACATATTTTAAAAAATAAAAATGAATTAAAGGTGAGCATTACCCATTTCTTAAGGGTTGGATTGTTTTTTTTATTTTTTATTTTTTTCCTTCCTTCTAAGTCACCATTGTTTACCTCTCTTCTCTTCTTCCTCTCTCTCCATAAGAAAGCAAATCTCTCTCTTCTCTCTCAATCAAATTCTTACTATTGAAGCAAAGGAAAGATGTTTTCTGGGTGACTTTCATTAGATTTTTGAATAATCATCTTTCAGTATATCAAGAAAATAAAACATGCAATAAAAAAAAAGGATTAGGACTAAAAAAATGATTTGTTTTGCTGTGGAGAGAGAGGTAGCTGATCATGATTAAGAAGGAAAGGGAAAAAAACGATTAAGGAAAAAATATATAAAAAAAATGGTTTAACCATTAATAAATGGTTAATGTCCATCTTTAAACTTTTTTATTTCTTAAACACATGTTCTAATCACATTGAACCACATCACACGGAGGATGAACCACATCCTCTTTGGGAAGGACGCAAGTATTGTTCAAAAGAAAATTGTACTATGATTGCCATTTTTTAACACTTCAGTACAAAATACAATTTCATGCCATTTTTGCAGGATTCTGTTGCAGAAAATCAAGCAGTTTTTGGAATTTTGTTGTTCTAATATTTTTTCCATTTCTTTGACTCAAAAATATTAATTTCCCTCACTGTTTATGATTTTCAGCTTAGCCATACGAAACCCCGGATTATGTATAATTTCCAAATATTTCCTACAATTCTATATTTTTTCCCCTCCTTTATAAAAACCATTTTTAAAGATTTTATACAATTAATATGAGATAATGGTGACAATGATAAAATAACCGAAAATGGAAGAAAAAGAGAAAAAGAAAAAAATAAATTTATAACGAAGATATTTAAGTAAATTGTTAACATAAATTGTTTGTTCGAGTTCCAAAAAAAGTTCTAAAAAAATTATTTTAAAGATTTAAACCAATCATGCCATACATTTTCCAATTAATCAAAAAAACACTAAGCACCCTATAACCAAAAGGGCAAAAAAAAAAAAACACAAAATTTATGCAGCAACATATCTCATTAAAAAAAAAAAAAAAAGAAAAGAAAAGAAAAGAAAAGAAATACACAATAATCGTCAAGGGATTGTAATGCTTAAATCTTGCACCATCCACATCAAGCTGGGCCAGGTCAATCTAGTGGATTCCCCCTACATCTGAAGTATCCGTTAATTTATTCACCATATATATTTTTGTTTATTAAAAAAGAATAAAGGAAAAAGAAAATGGCAATAAAGAAGGCTCTGGCATATGAGATGAGCCCCCATAACTAGCCTCGCGTCGTCACTCACCCAGTCAGTGTCTCACACCTCCTCTTCCTGCACTGCTTTATTAACAAAACCCACCGCTTTAAAGGACACCGCGCTACTTCTACTACTCTCTGCTTTCTCTCTCTAAAAAGACAAATTAGTTGTAGACAAAGCTCTGTTTAGCTACTTCAGGTAGCTCCGTCAACAGCGTCTCTGAGCCCTTTGATGATTTATCAGAAAACCTCACATCGCATAAAGCAAATCTCTCAAGTCTCAATACAGACACATGTATGTTTTATTTTTTATTTTTTTATTATGCTCAATTTTGGATGTCGGAGCAGTTTTTTCTAGATATATTTCTTAATCTCCTTCTTCGACTAATTAATGCAGATGCAGATTGATCGCCATTGACGACCTATTTGGAGCTTTCTCTTTGGATCATTTCCAGATCTAATTTATTACACAAACACCTCTCTCTCCGTCTTTTTGGACTCACCTCCTTGGACCTAAGTGGTGGAAAAGAAAAAAGAGAAAAAAGAAACCATCCACCAAATCTGATTCAATTAATAAAATCTCTCTTCGAGTTCTCTCTCATTTGTTTGCGAAAAATAATCGTTCATTAAAGTACTTCTTGTAGCCTTCTCTTTGTCACCCTTTAATAATCTACAGATTTCGCCCCAATTTTCTCAGAAAATCTTCGAGAATCGAGCTTTCTAGTTTCTACATCATAAACTATTCTTGAAATTCCTACAGTTTATTATAAAATGCAGAGACTCGTTTTCTCAATTTTGCTGTGCTTTGTGGTCACTGTGCCGTTTCTGAACTCACTGGCTCTTGCCGAAGTGGTAACATGCTCTGGGATGGTGCCGATGAAGTATCGGAACGATAAGATTTCGGTAACGGACTTCGGTGCTGTCGGTGATGGGCGGACTTTGAACACGAAAGCGTTCCAGGAGGCAATATATCGAATTGAGCATCTGAGGAGGAGTGGAGGTACGCTCCTCTACATACCTCCTGGGGTGTACTTAACGGAGAGCTTCAACCTTACAAGCCACATGACTCTCTACTTGGCTAGGGGTGCTGTTATCAGAGCTACTAAGGTAAATTACTCTCAGTGACATCTTTGTTGCGAGTTAATGAATAGAAGAATTAGTTATCATCACTTTTTTATGCCATGAAATGAAATTTGGAAGATCTCTTTGACCTTAATATACAATATTTCACTGAGGAAAGGTGAGGAGTTAGAATCCCATAATGGGCATTTATGTGTGTGTGAGTGTTTACCTAACAAAAAACATAGGAGAAGTATACAATGTGGTTGATTGGTCGATTTGGTGTGACTTTGTTAGGCTCAAAAGCTGAGTCATATATGGTTCCTTGGCACAGCCCAACAAAGAAAGGAAAAAAAGGAGAGGAGAAAACGTTGTCCTAGAACAAAATGTTGGGCTTAGGGTTTTGATTTGTGAATCTTGTTTCAATGAGCAAGGGTCACTAGACCACCAAAACTTATGTCATTTCGGTTGAGTGGTCCTTTTGTCGAAGCACAGGTTGTTCTGAGAGCAAGTGCTGTTGTGGACAGTTGTACTGATTCCTTCACAATGCTTTCCAGCAATCGATGCTACTTTTTTTTTTGACAATAGTGACGATCTAAAAAAAATAAAAAAATAAAAATCTATCATGCCAAGCAGAAGAAGTAGGACCTAACTGAATTACATTCAACTACATTATCTATGGCTTAAAGTGTTTTGAGGCTATATATGTGCAAGAAACAGTTTGGTTATTAGAACACTGGAGGTGTATAAACAACCATAAATCATGGTGGGTCCAGTGCATAAATGGGGACCTGGTTGCATGTGCGTGGCTTTAAAATTATTGAGAACCAGGATAGTTTGACAGCTGCATATGACAAGTGGTAGCATTGTCCCTGTACCATCATGTTCTTTTATAATAATGTTACTAATTCCATGTCTATCTATTGACCATACTGACACTGTTATTTTAAAGATAAACTCCATATGCTCTTCACTAATGTTGATCGATCATTGGTCGTGAGTTATTTAGTACTGACCTAGTGATACATGTTTTGGTAAAAGCATATTCTCGGAAGAGGTTAGTCGCAATGAGATGGTCAGATCCCCCATTATTATTACCTAAAAGAATGCTATTTCAATTTAGTATGTCTTACTGCATCGCCAGGGCTAATATATTTTGTTTATGCTACGTTAAATTGGGCATGTGTCACGCGTGTATGTGTCAAAGAGTCAAACACGTCTAAATTTTCTTATTTTTAGTATTTTTATTTTATTTTATTTTCGAAGGTAAAATAATATTTTTTAATGCTCCAAGGAGAAAGCTCCAAATATTTATATGGTGTAATTCACTTGTTTTGAGTAATACGTAAGAGAAGGAACACAATAAGAGAGCTTTGTGTATAATTATATTAAAACTTGGATTATTGGATATACTTGGTGCGTGTCCAGCTAGTCAGTGGATATATTTGAGACATATCCCACACTTTATCCAGTTATCGTGTGTCAGACACTGTTGCTTCATTCATTTTAGAAGAGTCCATGTAAAATAGCATTTTTTGGGTTGGTTTATACCTTTTACAGCTCTATTTGAAAAATTGTAGCATCCCATGGTCTAGAAATAATTTCTTTTAGTGGGTGTTTCAAATGAAAATTATATTCTGTATGGCATGGAAATCCATTAGTCCTTTTTGTGGGGCAATGATGTTGATAATGATGATCATTCAACTAATGCTTTTTTCATTGCACCCATCAGGTAAAAATTGATGGATTTAACAAAAAAAAAAAAAAACATTTCCAATCCTTTCCTTTTCTTTTTTAGTAATTCTTAATCATTTCTTTTTATGACTGCATTTATGTTTTTGGCAATGCCTTTAATCTGTGTTATTTTATGGAGTGATTTGGTTCCATGATCTCTTACTCTACTACTTTTTGCTTGACTCAACCAGAGGTTATAATTTTATAGAGACAGAGAGAGATACTAAGAACCCCCACCCCCACTCCCTCCCTTTCAAAAGATTTTCTTTCATGCTCTACATCAAATTTTTTTTTTTTTTTTAAATTTTTATTTTCTCTTGTGGATGCTTCAGGATACGAAAAATTGGCCTTTAATTGCTCCCTTGCCTTCTTATGGAAGAGGGAGGGAGCGTCCTGGAGGAAGGTATATGAGCTTTATCCATGGAGATGGACTTCACGATGTGATCATCACTGGTCAGTATCAGAAAGAATGTCTGTTATTCATTTATCTACCTTTTTTTGTACATATTTCCCTCAGCCTCGAGCAACATGCATTCTTAAATGTATAGAATACCCACTCTTACAAACAAACTACTTCTTTCGGAGAAGCATACTTTATATAGGCACTTGATTCAGAGTATATTTAATACGACTATAATTTTAGTGGATGTTGATAACTGCAATATTGGCATTCGATAATGCGTGTTATTCTGGTTGGGTTCTGTTGGCATTCTGCTTATTTATGATATTCCTGCTTGTACATGAAAATTTAATACCAAATAACATATTTAAGTAATATGTTCATTTTTTTGATTAATTGTTCTTCTTAGGTGAGAATGGGACCATTGATGGCCAAGGAGAGGTCTGGTGGAACATGTGGAGGCAGAGAACCCTTCAATTCACCAGACCAAATCTTATTGAATTGATGAACTCCAGAAGCATTATCATTTCCAATGTCATTTTCAAGAACTCCCCCTTTTGGAATATTCACCCCGTATATTGTAGGTGAGAATGAAACCTTGATTTTGGACTCGTAATATAATAAATTAATGGACATACATATTTTCATAAATTTATTTTCAAATTCAGTAATCCTGTTCATCTGATAATGAACTTATTGCACATTTTATTTCCCCCATTCGTACTATATATAAAAATAACACTTCCATCACTTATTTGAAATTTGAATTTATGCTTTCCTACATGTTTAAATTTATTCAGAAATCCATATTAATACATGGCTGAACCAATTAGTGCATAAGGCTGGAGCCTGTTAGCCTCATATGAATTATGTAACTCTGCACGAAGTTAATGTGATTTACTAGTCATCATGATCATATCTGAATCTAGCTGTTTTATATCTCCATTTTGTGCTCTCCAACATACATAATTTGTCTTGAATGTTTATGACAAGAGCCATAATTGTGACCATTATGATACTAGGGAGGTGGTACCGTGGTAGAGAAGCACATGAGTTCAGTTCAGCTGATGTTTTGAAACAGTTCAAAAGTGTTTGGTTGGTAATGGGGTTCTGGTAAATTCAGTCTGAATTAGTGTTTAAGACAAAAATTTCAAGCCATGAGTTATGCTGAGGTTGGGTAGGAATTGGCTGGTTTGATTATGTTAACCCGAACAGTATCCTGTAATGCCCCTTGATACTGAATGATACATCCACAAGAATTGCAAGGGTAGAGCTATCATTTGGTCTGACACTTCTATTTTTTAATATTTTTTTTGAAAGATTCAATTTTTTAATTTTTTATTTTACAGCAATGTTGTCATTCGATATGTCACCATATTGGCTCCACCTGACTCTCCCAACACAGATGGAATTGATCCAGGTACATACTACAATTGGGTTCATATTTCTTGACATGCACATACTTATCAGTATATTTAGGTCTGCAATGTCTTGTGCCATGTAGAATATATGAAATGGTGCACATTCTTTGGATCATTACTTTTTTGCTTCACAACTCACACAGATGAATTATCCCAACTCCTTGTATCGCTGCAAGAGGATCCTTGAATTCTTTGATTATTTGTTTGCTCGGAGTTTGGTGCTGGGCACCCCAAAAAGTGTCCACTCAACCAGATAAAATCCAGATTTTTGCTTTTCTTAGCTCTGATTAAATACATCAGATGAGATATGATGAGCAAATTTAGAAATTTTTACTGCATATATATATCCTCAATTCACTCTTGCAGATTCAAGCACCCATGTCTGCATTGAGGACTCGTACATTTCTACGGGGGATGACCTCGTGGCTGTGAAGAGTGGGTGGGATGAGTATGGGATTGCTTATGGACGGCCTAGCCATGGCATCACAATCCGGCGAATAACAGGATCATCCCCATTTGCTGGAATTGCAGTTGGAAGTGAAACATCTGGTGGAGTACAAGACGTATTGGCCGAGCACATAAGCCTCTTCAACATGGGAGTTGGCATCCATTTGAAGACAAACATTGGCAGGGGAGGTTTCATTAGAAATATTACAGTGTCGAATGTATACATGGAAAACGTGCGGAAAGGGATAAAGATTGCAGGTGATGTTGGGGACCATCCTGATGACAAATTCAACCCAAATGCTCTCCCAGTAGTTAAGGGAGTCACAATTAAAAACGTCTGGGGTGAGAAGGTCCAACAGCCAGGTTCAATACAGGGCTTGAAGAACTCACCTTTTACTGGCATCTGTCTCTCTAATATCAACCTTCATGGCGCAACAAGACCAAAAACAGCAGCAGCTCCTTGGAAATGCTCTGACGTGAGTGGGACTGCTCTTTTGGTTAGCCCGTGGCCGTGTTCAGAACTGGCAAACACTCATACCACCGGTGAATGTTCCAATACCTTCTAAGACTAGTACACAAAATTTTCAATTCTGTCCAAGCAATCAATAAATTCTGAGGTTTTTAATTATTCAATGAAAAATGTGATATCTTTTGTGTTATTCTATTTGTCCCCAAGTTTCTCTTGGTCTGTTGTTTGCTCTTGAGGTCTAATCTGATTGCATGAAAGTGAATATATATATACTGCTATATATTCATTCTTTTGCTAGATTTCATTTTTGTTTTGCTATAAAACAAGCTAGTGCCTGATAATTAAGTTAATTCCTATTTCATATTGGTAGCAAAACTCAAATTGCTAATAAAATATTGAAAGTCATAAGCTGATGATCATATAATATGCAAGTACTGGAATCATTGAAGTACCAAATCACACTATATAGGATAATAACACAACCATATTGTATTAATCATAGAAATTAGAAAGTATCTGCGTATATGATTACTACATCTGGGCATAGATGCGAAATTATTTACAGAACAGGAAATACATTCACCAAAATAAAACTGGAAAAAACAAAAACACACAACAAAACATAGATAGGCGTATTATGCATCACTACTGATTATGGTACTAAAAATCATCAAAAGTGATTCATGAACTTGCGGAAGCTCATCATGAAGCCCCCTTCCTCTCTCTCTTCTTCACGATCTTTATATTCTTCCTTCTCCTCCACCTCCTCGTGATGGAACGGCCTCTTGAAATTCTCTTTCTCGAACGTGTGGTGGTGCTTGAACCCATCGTCATGGTGGTGGTGGTGGTGGTGATGACGACGCATGCCGCCGTGGAACATCATCGGATCGAAGTCACTGTTCTCACCGGACAATATCATGTCATTGCCGTATGGAATTTCGCGTCCGTAAAGACGAGGGTTCATCGGCTTGAAGCGGTGGCCGCAACCACGGCGAGAGAAATGGAAAGAGAAGGGACGTTTCAATTGGAAGTGACGGTTGATTGGTCTGAAACTGACCACGGTCAATGGCCGGGTCAACGGGACTGCATCCACACCGATCGTTTCAGTTTCGGCTTCCGGTAGATCCTTGTTGGATTCGTCTGGCTGAATCTCGGTGTCTTCAGGTTCAATCTCAGCGATGTTGGCTGGCTCCGAGTCTGAGTCCGGCTTCTCCGTGGGGAGGAGAATTGTGCGCTTGGTGTCAGATTCCGGTTGATAATTTGACGGATCGCTGTGGATGACGTCTAACGCAATACTAGCGGTAGAGAAAGCGAAGAGGAAGAAGATAACGGTGGCGGTAACAGCGATTCTGGCCATTGTTGAAACGAGGAAGGTCGATGATAGTAGGAATGGGTGGTTGGTGTGTGTATATATATATATAGAAGTTCGGGCAGGTGGGGTAACAGGTGCTGTGATATTACTAGCGGATGGAGATAAAAGGGTCGGCGGGCAAGTAAGTAAATTTACATTTTTCTTAGGCCCTTGCGTGCAAGACGATTCCACTGAGCTGACTTTTGGTAGGCTAGTTTTTTCGACATCTAAACATTTTGATATAATATTCAAGAAAAAATAATACTAATATTCAGGATTGGTAGTTCAATATTAGATGGTTTTGATTAATTACTATCTGACACGTAAAGTTATGTATCAGATTGTTTATTTTGCTTTTTGTTTGCGATTAGTAACTGATTGGATCAGATCAGTGGCTCTAGACCATGCTTTTAAAAATGATAAAAGATTTGGGTAAAAATTTAATGATTTAGTGACTATTGATATAATTATAAAATTTAAAAAATATGATGTAAAAAGGTTCTAGTTAGAATCCTACAATTATTAATGTAACACATCAACAACTTATTTCACTATTGAATACACTAAAACACGACACTTTCTTACCATTTTGAATTTTTTTTTTTTCTATTCTTAAATTCTAGGAAATTAGTATTGCCTATATTTGATATTTCTACATAAACTCTTAAAATAACTTTCTTATCGTTCTTAAACTTTCTTTTTCGATTTTCTCTACCATCAACAATCTTTGATTTTTACAATGAAAGATTTGCAAAATTAATCAAATATATATTTTTATTCACAAATTCTAAAAATAATAGTATTGCTCAAATTTGAGATTTCTACGTACCTTAAAATAAATTTCTTACCCTGAAACATTCTTTTTTTGATTTTCTCTACCATCAATAATCTTTGATTGTTACAATTGAAGATTTTCAAGATTAATTAAGCTTATATTTTTATTCATAAATTCTAGAAAAATTAGTATTATTCCAATTTAAGATTTCTACATAACCCTTTAAAATAATTCTAATTTTTAAAAATTCATGCTATGTGAGATTGATAGAAGGATTGACTAGTTTTGAGAGAAAAATTCAATTGTACAAAGGAAACTGATCCCTAATAATAAAAGCGTAAGGCTTGATTGTTTTAATCCAAACGTATTCAGTAGTGAAATAAATTATTAATGTGGTATCTTAGTAGCCGTAAGATTAATACCTGTAAATGCTTGGAGAGAACTTTTATTGGAAAGCATCCATTCCCTTATAAAAAATACTACGTATGCTCTAATGATATCCGAAGATAATTATAGTTAGTGCGATTTTCTTGTTTGCTAATGTGTAAGATATTATTTTTAGGGTTGTAAGTTGGGCTGGCCCAACTAAGCCCAGTCCCAACCCAACCTCAACCTGAATCGGGTTGGGTTGGGCTAACCCGAATTGTATTCAACATGGGTTATGGTTAAAACCCAGCCCGAGTGTTTTCGGGCCGGTCGGGTCGGATTTACCGGTTGTGTTTTTAAAAAATATATAAAAAAATAATTTTTTTTTTTGAAAATTTATATATATATTATATATATATATATAAAATATATTTGATTATATTATTATTAAAAAAACAAAAAAGTTTTAGGGCAAATCATTTCATCCTCCCCACCAGGTCGCATTCTCAACTCTCTCTCTATCTCTCTCTCCCCCCAACTGCAAACTGCAAAATCTACCGAATCAAAAGTTCAAAACCCATATATTTCAGATCTGATTTTGAATGGGATCAAGCTTTTTAGAGTAGGAGCAGTCAAGACCAACCTTTTTCAAGTAAATCCGCATAGACGTGTAACACATGTATGCTCTCAATGATTGTAAAACAGTCTTTTCATTGGGCATGACAATTATTTATCCATTCGATCAGAGATCTGCTGATACACTGCTCAAATCTAAAATTTTGATGATTAATCGTCTAGCTTCAGCCCTGATTGTTGTAGGGCAGATAATCTCAGAATAATGATTGGTCTGCAAGAACCAACAATTCAAAACCCATATCAGCATAACTTGTATGTATGGGTTTTGTTTTAATTTTTGGAAGTGACGGCGGCGGATTTTCGGCTGAGGGTGAGGGACGACGGCGGCGGTTCAGCGGCAAAGGACGGCGGTAGAGAGAGAGAAAGAAGAGAGGAAGAGAGACGAGAGAGAAAGGAGAAAAAAAAAAAAATTTTAATTTCGGGTTTTGGGTTAGGTTCGGGTTGAGCCCGAGTCCAACCCGAATATGTCTGAGTTTTGACAAAATCTAACCCGAATATGAGCCCGATTTGTGAATTGTATGTCCAAATTTCAAAATTTATGGGTTGGGGTTGGGCTGGGCTGGGTTAGCCTGTCCAAGTTACGGCCCTAATTATTTTTGTATATATAAATTATTCCACCTCACAATAAATTTGTATTTATTTATTTATTTTTTTTACTAATGTTTTCACGCCATTTTTTTGAAAAAAAAAATATATATATATTCATAATTTGTAAAGCCTTAATATTTTATTTCTTAAAAATAAATAAATAGTCGATGATTTAAGGTGGTGGCAAGATATATTTATGGCACATCTTTGGAAAAAGATGGATGTAAATCTGAATTTAAATAAAAACATCTTAATATCATGTTCATATTCAAGTGTGAAACCAAATAGAAACTGATGGACCAACAATACACACGTGTGGATCGCATTCACACGTATACGCAACTGCAATAAGCATAACTGGGAATGGATAAATCAGTCATTACACTTGTGGGATTCAGTTTTTAACGCAGGAAGAACGTTCTAACGTTCCCACTTAATGCGGTGGTGGAAGAAAAAAGCTTTGGCAAACGCGTTACGTTGACTAGGCATGTTAGACGTAAGGATTCTGATGTCAGTGATGAAGTAGTTGGTCAAAATATTAACCTTAGCCCATTGTAATTTACCAATTTATCATTAGTTCTTTCAAGCGAGTTAGAATCCGAGTTTTATTATTATTATTATATTTTAGTTTATTTATTTATTATTATTATTATTATTATTATTATCATTATTATTAGTACTCCCTCCTTTCTACATTAGAGGTCTATATTTAGAAATTATTTAAGAGGACATACATTTAATGCATTGTTCCCTTTTAAAATTATCAACTTGTCCTTTCTAATTTAAATATATATAGTTACAAAGTTTGAAATTTTTTAAAAAGATAAAGAAAAATGATGAAAATATAAAACTTATTTATTTTTACTTTTTAAAGAGGACAACTAATTTGGAATATGTAAAAAGAGAATAATGAATTACTAATATGGAACGGAAGGAGTATTATTTAGTTAAATTCCTAATGAGTTTTAATTAATTAATTATTTATTTATACAGATCACATTCATACATGTAGATCACATTCATACACATACACAACTTTGCCCCGGCTAATCCCTGCGAGTGAGAATCTGAGTTTTACCTCACTATATCTTCAAGTTCACCACCTCTCATACAATTTTTTAGGTTTGACACTGATTTAACCCTTTTTAGATTTAAAAATGGTGAAAATCTCGCTAGTGTGTAGGGATGGCAACTAAGTCACATAAAGTAGGAGCGGAGCATGAAAGTGGCAAAATTTAAGTCAGATAGAGTAAGAATGGGAGCAAGAACACATTAAGCATGAGAGCGACACTAGTTGAAAAGGATTGTGTGACTTAAGATAACAATAAGATGAATTGTCTATCATTATTCAAATTTAAGAAAATAAACCAAATAAACATTCTTTCAAACTTATATAATTGTACCAAATCAACCAAATAAACAACCTTAACACTTTTCCAACAAAATTCCATCCACACGGAGTAAAATACAGGAA